TCCGGCCCCGCCGAGCCCCGCCGGGCGCTCCCCCCGGGCCGCAGCCGGACGCGCTCCCGGGGCGCGGCGGGCGCGGCGCTCCTGCCCTCCATGCTGATGTTCGGCGTCATCCTGGCCTCCAGCGGGCTCCTCCTCATGATCGAGCGCGGCATCCTCGCCCAGGTCGGGCCACCGCCGCCGCACCCTCCCGCGGGGCTGTCCCGGCGGGACGGGCGGGACTCGCCGGCCGAGCTGGAGCTGGAGGTGCTGCGGGACACGCGGAACCGCACGATCCGMGCCCTGTGCGGGCAGCGCTCCATGCCCCGCGGCGTCTGGGAGCTGCCGCCCGGGCAGCGCCGCACGGTGCTCCGGCACCTCCTGGTCAGCGACAAGTACCGCTTCCTCTACTGCTACGTGCCCAAGGTGGCCTGCTCCAACTGGAAGCGCATCCTGAAGGTGCTGGACGGGGCGCTGGAGAGCGTGGACGTGCGGGGCAAGATGGACCACAAGAACGACCTGGTGTTCCTGGGTGACATGAAGCCGGAGGAGATCAGCTACCGCCTCAAGCACTACTACAAGTTCCTGTTCGTGCGGAACCCCATGGAGAGGCTGCTCTCGGCCTACCGCAATAAGTTCGGGGAGATCAAGGAGTACCAGCAGAAGTACGGCGTGGAGATCATCCGGCGCTACCGCAAGAACGCGGGGAACTCGGCGGGCGACGACGTGACCTTTTCCGAGTTCCTGCAGTACCTGCTGGACGAGGATGTGGAGCGCATGAACGAGCACTGGATGCCCATCTACAACCTGTGCCAGCCCTGCGCCGTCCGCTACGACTTCATCGGCTCCTACGAGCGGCTTCACGCCGATGCCGCGCACGTCCTGGAGCACATCCAGGCRCCCTCGTCCGTGCGCTTCCCCGAGCGCCAGGCCTGGTACAAACCCGTCACGGCCGAGACGCTTCACTACCACCTGTGCAGCACCCAGCGCCGGCTGATCCGGGATCTCCTGCCCAAATACATCCTGGACTTCTCCCTCTTYGCCTACCCGCTGCCCAACGTCACCGCCGAGTTCTGCAGGCAGTGAGCTGCTCCGSTCGGGAGCCGCTGGGAATTCTGCCTTTCTCGCACAGCCCTTGCTGCTGTGTGCAGCACACTCCTCTATGCATTATTTCCTGATTTTCTACTTTGCCAGCATTGTTTATATGAAATACTCTCTACTGCCTTTGCTACTAGGATCCTTTTTGTACTGCTCCGACTTTCCCATGTACATTCGCCGCTGGCTCGAGCACAGTAGCTTTTGTATCTCTATTTTGCTCTAAATCCTTTTTCTATGGCCCAACATAGAAAACTCCTGTAAGGAATCTGAGAAATTTATATATTTTAAGCATTTTTYTTCCTTTTCTGGGTTTTGTACTAAACGTTGATTGAATTGAGATCATAACGTGGCAGTTGATGCACTAAAACTTAGTGCTGTTAAACTGGTCCTGGGTGGGTTGTGCATGTAAGTTTAAAAAAAAAATGGTTTTTGTAAACCAGACCCCATTTATCCTTTACTTTCTCATTGTAGATGGTACTTAAATGAAGCTGGTCAGTTTACTGTTTGTCAGTAGTACCGCTGGGTTTTATTATTATTATTATTWTTATTATTWTTWTTATTATWATWATTATTATTATTATTATTTACCRTTGAAATATAACTAGGGGTAGGATAATACCCGTTTTTTTGAGTAACTTTGAAAGTACAACTTTTTACCTAATATCATGTATCAGATGCAATATCAAGCCATCAAATTCTGCACTTTTCTCTGAATTGAAGCAGTACAGACTTGGAATAAGGTCAAAGCCCATCCTGGTCCACAGGATGGAAAACAAAAACAAATCCCACGGGCCACGTGCCAGCTGACTGCCTCGTGGGTCCCTGCGTGGAAACCACTGTGCAAAACCCCTTTCTCCAGCTGTATTTGAAACAATGGCGGTTTGGGGATTAATTCTCCYTCCTTTAATAGCTGTGCACACACTTTTTCTAGCTCTTGTATTTAATTATGGCTCTGAAATCATAAAAGTTTGGGAGATAACACAGGATGTTCCTGGGAGGCTGTGTCCTCRTTTCTAATAAAGTTTTTCTATGAATTAGCCTGTTAGTACTTTTCCTTGGGATTATTTGTCTTTGGAGAGGCCTCTGCCCCTCATGCTGAGCCACAACACGAAGGTGCCATGAATCGGTTTCTGTCATGATTAATTAATGTTTTAATTGCCAGAGCAGCAGCAACACATGGAGAAGGGACACATCAGAGCCGAACACGTTACAGGACATAGGGAAATGGGATGAGAAGTAGCAAAACAGTCTCCTGAATGCTGTGGAGTTCATAGGGATGGGTTATGGAGCTGGCAGCTTTCTGAGATTCCTCTCTTCATTTTCCTTCCCACTTTTTTAGGGTTTTTCTTCAGGATTTTTCTGAAGAAAGGGCACGGAGCTGCATCTAAGCCCATTCTTGGAGTGAGTAGCCAAGCACAGTGTGGGCTGAGGGATTTGTACCTTTGCTGAGGGGGTCATGCCTGGGTATGAGTGCAATGACTGGAACRTTCATGGATTTGAGCTCCTGGTTGTGTCCTGAATCTGCAGGCACCGATCCCAGGCAAAAAAAAACGGGTCAGAAATTGGCTTTGCTGTCCTTGTGCCCGCTCTGGAATCGGCAGCGTTCCTGTCTGTCCCCAGGGGTTTTGGTGCCCGGTGAGCACSGGGGGAAGAGCTGGAGATCCATCCTGTGCTCCAGCCAAAGGCACCAATTCCAGCCAGGAGTCGGATTTTGTTTTGTAAAACAGATGCTGCTGGTGGAGGGTGGACTGAGCTGTAATTAAACCTGACCTCCACCTCTCCCTAACTAGGAATAAATTGGTGAGACTTCGTTGACTTTGCTTCTGGGAACATTTCCTGCTTGTTCGCTGATTCAGTTTTTAATTAAATGTTTATTTCTCAGTAGTTTTAAAGGTTTATGCCCCTTGTTTGTTTGTCTGCTGCAGCTTCTGTTCTCTGTRTTAAATTTCTGTCTCTTSTCCCCTTAAACTAATTTACTGTGCACAGGATTTTGCCTTTCTCTGACTCTCTCACTGCTTTTCTGGGCATCACTGATCACCCTTTTCTCYTTAAATAAAGCAAACAGGCTCCCACATCCCTTTACCTCGCCATGAGGAGGATTTTAATGCAGGTAGAGCCTTGTAGCTTGGGCAGACGTTTGTCTGCAGGGCAGCAAAAATGAGAAATCCATCAGGTTTCCGTTATTTGGGTTTCATTTTATCTGTGGCGAAAGGTACAATTCTCCATGGCAGCTTTGGACAAGCAGAATGAGAAAAAAAAAAAAAAATCAGCTCCCTCTGCAGGTGTATCATTTCTTTCCTTTGTCAGGTGTTTCTCCAGGCTGGAATAAATCAGGAGGAGATTCCAGAGCTGACAGCAGGCACTGGAAGTGGGAGGTGCAGAGCAGGGTCCAGCCATCCCCTGGAGCACAGGGAAAGGGGGATGGCTGCAGGAGCTCAGGTAGAAACGAGAAGGAAATCATGAGGTTATGAGCTGGTTTGGATCTGTTCCAGTCYGGCAGCTCCTTTTCCCACCTTTCCATCCCTACACATGCAGTTACCCTGCAGAATCAAAAGGGGATCTTCCCTCTTTTGAATTCTCCTTTAATCCTCTCACTTTAATCCTGACTTCTGCACTGAATGCCCCAAACTTCCCCACGTGAATCACCTGAGGTTTTGGCATTRGGGTTGCTTTTTCCTCACTTGCTCACTCCAATTTTGTGCTGATAAATCCCATCCCTGATCMCGCTGTTCTCGTGTTCTCCCTGTAGATCCCCATCCAGGCACGTGGAAACACCCCAACAGTTTAATCCCACCTTGTGACACAGAAACTTGTGATCCCCCCTGACGTACCACAATGTCACTGTGCTTTAATTTGTCTTTAGTCACTTCTTCTCCTGCTGGATTTTTTTGAGTTTGGAGCTGTTTTGCTATTCAGCTGGGGACCAGGGAGCGAGATAGGTAAGGAACTTTTGCTGTTCCAAAAACCCCGCTTCACGTGTCATCCTCACTAATTCCAGCATTTTACCTGCAAAGCCTCRTTCCAAACCCCAAGCTGCTGGCTTTTGGCAGCGTGACTCTGCCAAGGCGTTGGAACACATTCCCTCTGTTCCCCAGGCTCAGCTCAGGGTGTGTGTCAGGTTCTCCTCTTCGCTGTGGGTCTTCTCCTGTGGATTTTGCAGCAATAACCAACTGCCTGGCCAGGCAGTGGGGCTGAAATAAACGCATTAAGGCTGCCAGTCGCCACGTTGGCTGGCAGCCTTGACCCCGGATCCAGTGGGAGTAAAGCTTGGGGAAAGGCGGCGGTCGCAAGCGGTGCCAGGGATGGCTGCTCTGACGCCTGCAGACAGCGTCACACCAGCCTGGCTTCTGCTTCTCTTGGCTCCCAGCCTCCCTCCTGGCACATGAGAGTCACCACCACCTCGGGATGTTCCTCCCCTTGCAGGCAGGATTTGGGAARAGCCAAAAGAAAGCGTCTCCGATGGGTCCCTTGTGTGTGGAGATATTTTAGTATTCACCGAATCCCGGAATGGTTTGGGTTGGAAGGGAGCGTAAAGACGGTCAAGTTCCAACCCCSTGCCATGGGTGGGTTTGAGAGGGTGTCAGAGCATCCCTGGATGAGGCTCTTGGCAGCTGTAAAGCAAGGAAAGGAGGAAGGCTGGGATGAAGAGCACCGTGCCCAAGCGCTGCCCCCACCCCACATCCCTCGGCTTTTATCGCGGCTGTTTTGCATGTGAATGAGAACTTTCCCTGCTTCCTTCTGGGGCTTGAATCGGCAAACGGGGAGCTGTTAAAAAAAAAAAAAATCTCCAGTCTTTAGCCCCGACAAAGGATGGTTGCCATGGAAATAATGGAAGTTGCATCGTGAGCAAAATATGTCCAGGCCCGGYGCCAGTGGGAGGGAGGAGGGAACACCTTGTCGGTCAGACACCTTCTGCCAGGGCCCATGTGCCTCCACGTGGTGTTCCTTATCCCTGGAAGTTTTTGGGTTAAAAGAGGAGAAATCAGAAGTGTCATGATTGGATGGGAAGGGTTTGTGGGGCTTCACCTGCCCTTTCCCCGGTGCTGCTGCCACYGGATTCAGCAGAGCTGCCCCACATTTAGGATCCCAAAGGATGCTGGTCGCAGGGTTGGGAAGCACAGCTGGAATCCCACCTCAGGTAACAGGTAGGAGTCTCCTGCCTTGGTCATATCCAACCTCTTCTTCATGTCAGGAAATCTTCCAGGGCTGTTTTCCACTGGCCTGTAAAGCCAGACAAGGTGGCTTACTTTTCTTCTAGAAAAAAAAAACAAAAACAAAAACAAAAACAAAAACAAAAACCAACCAAAAAAAAAACACAAAAAAACCCAAACTTTGTATTTTAGTCTCCAAAAACTTCCCTTTGCAGACCCACGATTATAAACTGCATCTTCTTTTCCTTTCAGAAAATCTAAAAGTGATTTTGAGCCAAGAAACTTGAGGAATTCGCTTTATACCCCTCCAAAGTGCTAATGGGAGCCACAGAGCCCTTGCTGAGCTATGAGGGGCACTAAAATAAATCTCCATCGGGGTTTATCTGTGAGCTCCTTGGCGAGGCCCAGGATCTGTATGGGAACTGCACCTTTCAGAGGCTCTGGTGAGTGGTATTTGCTGGTGGGAGCTTGGATTGGGGAACAACAGGACACTTTGGGGCCTGAAGATGTTCTGCTCTCCTGAAAGCACCGGGGACTTGGGAAGAAGCTCAAAGCAGCCAGTGAAATCCTGTTGGTTGCTGTTGAGGAGCATCAGGGGAGGAGGAAAACAGGGCTGTGGGAAGCCTGAGGAAACCCCTACTGAGGCTGCCACGGTTTGAAGGAATTTTAAGGTGCCAGAGTGAGGAGTAAAGGACAGAGAGCSTGGCTGGCTGTGGCCTCAGATCTCCTGCCACCAGCAGAGTGGAATTGAGGAGGTTCAGGCTCATTTCTGACCCGGGAAGAGGCCAAGCAGAGGGAAGCAGCAAAGGGCTGAGATTTGAAGTGTAAAAACAGAATAAAGGCATGCAGGTATCTGGATCCCCATGCTGCTCRCTCATCCCACACCTCCACCCCACTTCCTGATCATCAGCAAATCCATGTGGATGTTAAGCTGATGAGCGCCCAGCAAGTCTGACCTTGGGAAAAATCCCAGAACGATATCAGTGAGAACAGACCTTAAAAATCATCCAGACCCATCCCCTGCCATGGGCAGGGRCAATTTCCACTACACCAGGYTGCTCCAAGCCCCATCCAGAATCAAGTTGTTCTGTGGGRTTGGGGACTTTGAAGGAAGCAGCTGATGGGGATGAGGAGCTGGGAACGCTCGGGGCGGCCACAAAAACATCTGGTTTGTGGCAGAGCCCTGACAGCAGGACAGGGACGGGGCTGCTGTCGTGCTGAGCGCTCACAAAGAGCTCCCCGGGGCCGGGCCCGGCTCCGGCAGCGGATTGCGGGTGCTGACAGGACGATGCCGCTGCAGARGCTCCGAGTCTCCGCCGGAGCCTTTCCCGGAGCCGCTCCGCAGGAATCCGCGCTCCGCTCGCCGGCTGCAGACAATTCCTGGTGAAAAATCCC